CGTGCTGCGCCTGCGCTTGGGGGACCGCGGTGAGTGGCGGGGCGCCCCAAAACGGACCTGCCCCGAATCTGCCCTGGGACTCGAGATCCGCCCCCAGACCTCCCTCTCCCCGGTCCTAAGGGACTCTCCGAACCTCCAACCCTGCCCTTTCCCCCTGCCGTTGGGACCTCCCCAAACTTCAGACCTCTCCTCAAATCCCCCAGATCTTTCCTGAGGCCCTAACCTCCCGACGCTCCACCCAAAACCCCACCCCAGGATTCACCACTTGGTTTGGGACCCCCCAGTTTTGTGGTCCTCCTCAGCTCCTCCTCTTCCCTCCAGACGTGCTGGTGCCGAGCTCGGTGGGGACCATCCGTGAGGCGCTGGTCCGGCACTGGGGGGACTGGCTGGGCCGCCCCACCAGTTATCTGGGTATGGGGGCAGGGGAGGCCGGGTGGGCTATGGAGCGGTGGGGTAGGAAGGGTTCCTGTGGGGGTTTGGGGAGTCGCTGTGGAGTGCGTGGTAGGGAAGCCCTTTGGGGAATTTGTAGTGAGTCACTGTGGGATTTGTGGGGTTCCCTGTGGGGCTTAGGGTGTCTCTAAGGGCTTGGGGAGGAGGGGCTATGGGATAGAGAGTCCCTATAGGGTTTGAGGGGGTCCCTATGAGATTGAAGGGTTTGGTATGGGATTTGGAGGGCGTCACTATGTGGTTGGGGATATGGCTACTGGGAGGGGGCGGTGGCACTTCTGGAGGTGTGGGTTGCTTATAGGGGCTAGGGCAGTCTCCGGAGGTCTCTGCTCCACCAGACACACCCTTCAGCCTCCAGGGTTCCTGGTGGAATTAGGGGGGCTCTTATTTAGAAGGTGGCTATGGGGTAAAAGGAGTTTTATGAGCTAGAGGGGCCCTACAGAACACCCCTGGTGTGATGGAGGTGGGTCCCTATAGGGGCTGAGGGGGGATTTCTGGGGGTCCCTGACTCCCCCTGCCCAACACCAGGGTCGCTGGTGTCACGGGGGGGCCGGGACCTGGCACTGGGAGGCCCCTGCCCTGGCTGGCGGCGGCAGCGGGGAGCAGTGCGGGGAGCACTGGCACAGGCTGGGGGGCGTCTCGGGCCCCTCCTTTGGCTGCAGGGCCAGAAGTTGTGTGAGGTGAGACCCTTAAACTGACTTCTTCCCAAAGTGATCCCCCTGCAACCCTGACACCTCCAAAACTGATCCTCCTTGCAATAATATTGACCAGCAAAACCCTGCCCCCTGCACCCCAAAACCGATACCTTAAGCCCCATTCCCTTCACCCAAACCCCACCCATACACCTTAGCCGTGCACCTTGTGTCTGAAAACTGCTCCCCAAAACCATGCTCCCTGCACTCAGCCCCCACTCTCTGCGTCCCAAACCTGATCCCCAACCCTGCACCCACACCACACTCCCTGTCCCCCAAAACAGACGCACCCAAATCTCACCCTCTGCACCTCAAAAGGGCATTATCCCTGTGAATCCCCAAAACTCCCTTAGAGTTCCCCAATTCTCTCCTGTGACCCCCCCATAACTACCCTTAGACTCCCCCTTTAGCTCCCCCAGGGCTCCCCCTAACCCTCCTCTTTCCCCCAGGAGCTGCGTTCCCATGGGGAGGCCCCTGTGGACCCCTTTGAGGTGTTCACCTTCCATACCTGCAGCACCATCGCACGCCTCCTCTTTGGGGACCTGGTGGGGATTTGGGGGGGGCCCAGGATGGAGAGAGGGGTTTGGGGGAGGACCCCAGTTTTTATGGGGGCCCAGGGGTTTGGGGAGGACCCAGGAGTTTGTGGAGGGGATGTCTAGCTGTTTGGGGGAACTCAGCAATTTGTGGGTGGGTGGCAGGGGTTTGGGGGCACACGGGAGTTCGAGGGGACCCAAGTGTCTGAAATTGTGTTGGGTGTCTTCTGGGGCTTGTGAGAGAACTCGACTACTGGACAGTTCACAGGTGTGTCCTCCTCCAGGTGCCCCCCCCAGGGGAGCTCCGGGCCTTCTCCCGCTGCCTGGGGGAGCTGCTGCAGGTTTGGGGGCACAGCAGCGTACGGGCGCTTGATCTGCTGCCCCTGTTGCGGGTAAGGCTGGAAGGTCCTATGGGGCTGTGGCCTTTTTGCTGCATGGGGGTCTATGGAGCCCAGGGCTCTAGAGCCTTATAGGGGCAGTGAGGGAACCGAGGAGGCTACTGGGGGGCTGTGGGCCTGTGGGAGGGCTGTAGGGCCCTGGGAAGGGCTGTGAGTGTCAGGGGGCTTATGTGGCCCATGGGAGGGATATGCCAGGGGTTATAGTGTCTATATGGGGCTAGGGAAAGTGTTACAGGGTCTATATGGTGTTGGGCAGCTTTGTGGGCCTGGGAGGGGCAGTGGTGGGGGCTCTCTAGGGCTAGGGTGGTCCATATGAGGTAAAATGTCTCTATGGAGCTGAGGGTGTCTATAGGACATTGGAGGGGTCTGTATGGCCCAGGGGAGCAGCCATAGGGTTTCGCTGGGGCTCAGGACTTACACGGCGTCTCTGGGGGAGGGGATGTCTCTCTGAGACTCTGAGAGGGTTGAGGGTCCCTATGGAGTCCCTATGCCCAGGCCCTGCCCAACCCAGGATTGCGGAAGCTGCTGCAGCTTGTCCAGCACCGTGACACCTTCGTGGAGGCCCAGATCCAGCGGCACCAGGTGGGGAGGCCTGGGGAGCTGGGGGGCAGCCAGGGATTAGGAGTGGTCTGGTGGGAACAGAGGGTCAGGGGAGACCCGGGGGTTTGGAAAATATCTGGGGGTCTGGAAGGAGCCAGGTTCTGGGTGGAAACCAGGAGTTTTGGGGGGGGTGTCCAGGGGCACGAGGGGACCTACATATTTTGGGGGAAACAGGTTTGGGGGGACCCAAGGAGACAGGAAGACCTGGGGTCTGGAGGGGAAGTGGGGTTGGGGGAGGAACTGGGGATTTGGGGGGACTTGGAGGTTTGGAAGGGACTCCCATGTTTGGGGGCAGCTGGGGATCAGGAGAACCCCCCAACATGTGTCATCCCCTTGCCAGGCATGCCCCTCCCCTCCCCCGGACACAGTTTTGGGGGCGCTGCTGGGGCATAATTCTGGGGCACGGGGTGGCTCCCTGAGCCCCCCCCGGCTGCACATGGCGCTGGTCGACCTGTTCATTGGGGGCACTGAGACCACGGCGGCTGCTCTGGGCTGGGCTGTAGCCTTCTTGCTGCATCGTCCTGAGGTGAAATGCATGTCCCTCCATGTCGTCCATGCAGCACTGGGAGGTCCTGTGTATCCCCATTGGTCCCATATCCCCACCCACATCCTGTGTGTGTTCTGCATGTCCCTCATGTTCCCTTCTCCACGGGCTTCCTACTGCCCTGCCGCCAGATGACGTGCGTGGGCACCGTGTGTACAGTCCCAAGGCTCCACGTGTATCCCTGGGGGTCCCATATCCCCACCTGTGTCCTACATGTCCCACACGTCCTCCTCCCCATGGCCGGCACCATGCCCTTGCACCACCCTGAGGTGCCACATGCACGTCAGAGCCACGTCCAAGTCCCCGTGCACGTTCGTGGAAGGGAGTCGGGTCCTCACATATGTTCCCCAGGAGGGTCCCATATCCCCCACCCGTGTCCCGTGCATCTCCTGTGCCCACTAGTGTCCGCCCACCCTGTCCTGAGATGCCACATGGATGTCACAGACATACCAGAGCTGTGTCTGTGTCCCCACATGGCTCCTCGATTTGGGGTTTCCACAGAGAGGTGGCTCAGGGTCTGGGGATAGAGGGTCTCAAGAGACAGGTCTGGGGGCTCAGGGGTGTGCCCAAGGAGGAGGGAGGAGCATGTTTTTTAGGGGGTTGGTGGATCCCAGAGCAGGCTGGGGGGTTGGGAGGAATCTGGGTGTTTAAGGGGTTCCCCAAGGGAGAGGGCCAGGTTTGGGGATGGTCTGGAGTCCCAGGGCCAGGTTCATGAGTTCAGGAGGGTATGGGGTTCTAGGGAGTCCCTCTGTCACCCCATTGCCACTGTGTGCCCCCCGGATGCCCCTCTCCTCTGACAGCCCATGACAGACACGGCACACTTGTTCTCCACCCGTGCAGCTGCAGGCACGGCTGCGGGCAGAGTTGGAGGGTGCACATGGACCCCCTGGGCCGGGGGACACGGGGCGCCTGCCCCTTCTTCAGGCCACTGTCAGCGAGACTCTGCGGCTGCGGCCCCCTGCACCTCTGGCGCTGCCCCACTGCGCCCTACGCCATACCAGGTGGTGAGACAAACCAGCACAGGCTAGTGTGGGGGAGGGATGCTGGGAGAAGCTGCAATGAACCAGTCTGGGTCAGGGGGAGCTGAGACGAGCCATTACAGACCAGTTAAAGACCACTTGATATCACCAGTAGGGTCCACGAGAGCCCAACAGAGCCCATTAGACCCCAGTGAGTCCCACTAAGACCCATCACATCCCGGTATGGCCCCAGTAAGACTCCAGTATAACCATAGGTGCTAGTAAATCCCAGGAGGGCCCAGTAGAAGTAGGGCTGCAGTAGACCCCAGTAGACCGGTATGGCCCAGTAAGTCCCTGTAGGACCCAGTAGGCCTCAGCTGACCCCAGAGCATCCCAGTAAGACTCGTTAGGTCCCAGTAAGCCCCAGTATGTCCCACTAGGCCCCAACAGGTCCTGGAATGACCCCAGTAGACCCTAACCGACACCCAGTAGATCCTAGGAGACCCCACAATAGTCCCAGTAGGCCCCAGCAAAGCCCAGAAGATCCCAGCAGGAGTTCCCAGTATATCCCAGTAAGTCCCAGCGTGGCCCCATTAAACCCCAGTAGACATCCAGTAGCCCCCAGAAAAGCAGTTCCCAGTGAGCCCCAGTAGACTCCAGTATGGCCCCAGTAGACCTCAGCAGGCACCCAGTAAATACCAGAGAGCCCCAGTATGGGCCCAGTATACTCCAGCAGATACTCAGTAACTCCCAGTAGGAGCTACCGGATCCCAGTAGGGACCCCGTAGACGCAAACAAACATAATTGTTTGTTTTAGGTATTACCGCAAATCAGTAATACCTAGTAGCCCCCAGAAAGCCCCCGTATGGCCTCAGTAGGTCCCGTGCATCTTTCAGTAGTCCCCAGCAGACCCCAGTCCATCTCAGTGCCCCCTGTCCCCTTCCAGTCTTGGGGGGCTCCCCGTGGTGGCTGGCACCGTCTTGGTCCCCAACCTGCTGGCAGCCCAACAGGACCCTGACATCTGGCAGCACCCTGAGGTCTTCCTGCCCGGTACGTGGGTACGCCTTCACTCGGAAGTCCCCGCTGCCAAACTCCTGGGGTCTCCTCAAACATCAAACTGGATTTCTCCAGTAGTCATGGGGTTTCCCTTGACTCCTGGGTATCCTGGGAACACCTTGGCGTCATGAGTGCCCCCCTGATGCCTGAATCACCCCAAACCCACACCCCCTCCC